CCTTATCCAAGCATAATCCTGCATTCTTTTCTGGCCAAACGTCCCGCTGTTCATTTGAAGAGCTGCGATGCCAGCCGAGCCCACTCACTTCTCAGCTCACACATTACCAAAACTCCAGGGTTGCGTCATTTGCCGAAAAGCACAAAAAATATATCTGAAGCCCTCTTTTCCAAGAAAGAGCATAAAGTTTTTTTTTTCCTTTTGTGCCAAGTCCTTGTACTCCTTTCACGCTGGCCACCAAACCATGCCTAATGGCTCCTGGGGAGAAGAGGCCCAGATTGCGGCGTCTTTTCCCGACAAAAAGAAAACTAGGCTTAAAATTTCAGGGTGCCACCCCCGCCAACCCACCCCTCCTGGAGCGCGCATATGCCCCTTCTATCCCAGGAGAAACAAGAGATGAACTCAGAAATGGATGCGAACGGTGAACGTGAGCAACCACAGTCACTCTCAGATTCTCTGTTTTTGGGTTATATGCTGTAAATCTAATACTTTTTTATATATACTGCAGGTGAATATCTGGGTTGCTAATATGTGAATCTGACCCATCAGGAATGGAAGAAGTTGCACTTTATTATGGGTAAGATTTTGCTTGAATACATTCGACTATGCTAATGTTTTGCTGTCGTGTTTTTGGAGTAGAAATCAACGATGAAGATATATTATTCAGGCACATCACAGTGTTCAAGAGCTGACAATGAAAAGTTCAACAGATGTGGAATATTTTTGGAATGCAGTATGTGATGTAGAAACCAAGATGGCAAAATGAATTTGTATGATGATAATGGATTCAGCTTGCATATGATGTAATGAAATGGATTTCATAAGACATAGCACTTTGAATGATTATTTTGAGCACTTTTGAATTTTCATTATATTGAATTAAAATGTTAAGCTTAGGTTGTGCCTGCATTGAGGACCAAATGTAAATGATAGTAAAACACTGAAATCCCTTACATTTTTTTTTTTTTACCAGTCAGTGGTCTGAATGAGAAAAACAGCTTACTAAAGGATGCTTTAATTAAAAAAAATGTAAACTATGCAATATGTGAGGGTTTGATTTAACTAAATTGGACAGAAAATATATATACAAGAAAATATAATAAAAACTAGTGTGTGTGTGTGTGTGTGTGAGAGAGAGTATGTGTCTGCAAACTGAGCATGAGCAGAAAGAGAGGATTAGATAATTGAAGAGGATGAGAGTAAAAAAAGGACAATAGTCAAGCAGTGTATAAATGAGACCAATGGGAAAGTCTCTGTATAGTGTATTGAATATATATACTTCCATCAGGAATCTCTGCTTAGTGGGAAAACACATGCCAAAAAAGGACAGACCGAGAGGTTTTTAATCCAAGCTGCATCTGTTTGTTCATTACAATACCCTATGATATGTTCACAAGCATGCAGATGACAATATTGCATGAATAATGTTTAAACCAACCACACACAAGAGTTTATTTAGTGAAGCGCAGGATTGTCAAAGAAGCGGCCGATTCCTTACATCTGTTCTGCTGTTTACACACACACACACACACACACACACACAGAGAAAAGAGAGCACACAACCTTCATGAATGGACCCTGGGTGATCAAAACACCTGTATTTGTTAATTCAGTTCATGTCAGCTCATTCATGCATTCATTGTTTCTTGCTCTTTTGAGCCACAAGATTCTTAGCTTTTCTAACTCCTGACCAGTTTTCTTGGCCTGATAGTAAAATAACATTCACCTTTAAGGACTACAAAGGCCTCCATCTTCCTAGAGCCGTCTCAGATGACTCCCCACCTTTTAAGGCGAGGAGATGAGAGTTGATTGATTTTCTGCTAGGTTTAAGGTGTACTCTGGTTTTTAAGAAGATCCCTCCAAAAAAAGTAAAAGACAAACACAGTTCTGTGAAAGCAGAACAAGATATGGAGTCTATATTAAGATGACTCGAGGAGCCCTCCTTCGATTTCTGTGGCGTTTACGCTGTAAATGTAAATGTGATATAAGGTGAAGCTAACGTGGCATCAATATAGATAATTTCTCTCCTTTTTATTGCATACCATCTGCAATCGATCTGTTGCTAATCTTCATTACAAAGGCCTCAGTCTCACTGATTTCCTGAGGATACACAATGTTGATGTGGGACTGTGTCATTTGTATTACATAAAAAAAGAATGTGATGAGAGTAAAGATAACAATAATATACGCTTTTGATAATTACTTTTTTTTCCATATTTGTCTGATAAACCACATCATAAAGAAAACCTTAAATAGATATGCATTTTGTAGTTGTTTAATTTATGACAAACAAATAATCTATTCATACAGTGAAATAATTAGTTATAGAAAATATGTTTGCAGCAATTGTAATTTATTGCCTAAAAATAAATGAATCGTGGATTATTTGTCATGCCACTTTATAACACAGTTTCGATTTACATTTCATATTTAAATTGTTGATTAGGTTTTTAAATGTTTTTAAACTCCAGAATTACTTTTATAATTGTACTTTAATGTTAAAATGGTTCATGCTAAAAATATATTTTTGTTTAATGCTAAAATGGCATTAGATCCACTCCAATATAAAATAAATAAATAAATACATAAATAAATAAATATTTCCTTAAAATGCTCAAAGCAAAATTGTAAGATGTAACAAAATCAATATATTTCTAAGGTATTATTTCTGTATCTGCCTGTGAGGGTAGACGGACAGATTCTGTAGGCCGCAGTGAATTTGGCAAGTCTGTACTGGGGAATGGCGTGTTAAGGAAAGAGGGAACAGGAGGAGGTTATTAAAATATGATGTTCGAGTTTTGGTTGACTACCTCACACATGGTTCTCTCAGCATGAACTGAAAGTGAGGTGTACCTCTTACCAAAAGAAAAAAAAAACAGCTAAATAAAAAAATGGGTAGCTTTCTTTTCTTTTCTTTTTACTATAAAGCTGCATGTATTTTTTTTTATTTTTTATATTCCATTATGTAACAGCAACATAAGAATTTTTTTGTTTTTTAAAATGTGGTAATGATTTCATTTCCAAATCAAATCATTTTCATAATAATGCAATTACCAGCCCTATAGAGTTTTATTGATGTATTTATTTAAGGTGAACAGGCCCATAATATAAGAGATCCTATCTGTTTTGGGAGCGGGTCATGGGGGTTGGCTTGATGAAAGGCATAAAGCACTTAAAAGTTGTTAAGGGCACTCCCACCATTCAGAAGCACTTAGTGTGGCCACTCCCCAAAATCTGCACACACAATTACCATTGGAGGGTGATATGGAAACACACACAAGCACTTACAAACACGAATGCTTTTAATTAATAAACTGATGACATTTTCCAGGTGTTTTGTTACACTGGGTTAATTTTTTTTAATTAATTTAAGATTTTTTTTCAAATTTAAGATTAATGTGCTAACACAAATTAAGTGTTTGTATCTGTAAAACAATGTGATCTCTGAATTGCATCCATCCCGAGGCATGTTATGTAAACAGTCAAAGGTGTTATTTTTACAGTCTGTATATTCCTATTAAAATGATGAATATTTACTTGCTGTTGAATGTAATTGTGCTTGTCATCACCTGTTTAACATTTATATTAAGGGAAATTGATGTTTTCTTGTCAGAAGTGCTAAAGAGGCTACTTTTTATTTTACCTCTGCATTTTGAATAGTGACATGAATGAGGAGTGTACACACACACAAAGCATCTGCAGAATGCATAGTGATTAAACCTGCAGCCTTAATCATAAATCTCAGTGTGACAGCTGCTGTTTAAGTCTGTAAGTCTCAATTATTATCTTATATTAATTTCTCATTTGTAGTCTATGCTGTATGTGTGTTCCTTATTCTATAATCATTATATTTTAATCTGCCAGTTTTTAAACATGATATGTGAATTTCAGATGGACATGAATTTTGTTCATCTTTGATTGTTAAAATAATAAAAACATACAAAATATTTAGACAGCATTTGTGCTTTTTTTATGCCTTTATTCGTTTATATTGTGCTGTTTTTAGGTTGGATTTGAATTGTTAAATGCCTTTGAAAACAGGAAATCACATTATTTTAGGCTACATAGGCCTAAGTAAAATCACAAAAGGAAAAAACGTTTAAAAGCAAACAGCTAGCCTACATTTACTAAAGTAAAAAGAATATTGTTTTTTTCCCCCGAAACTGACTTATTATTCCAGTTAAATTAAATGGCGAACACTCTTCATTAACCACAAAATATACAGTGACAGTTGTAGGTCTACTCTGCATGAGCAAACTGTTACAGTGTTCAGTGTCAGTTTTGGTCCTAATGATTTAACAAAGATAAAGCAGTATAAAATGTTACAAGAAATTTAGTAATAATACAAAAAGGGAAAAAACGGTGTAACTTAAGTTAACCATCCTGCAGCATGAGCAGCGTTTGCTGTATACCTAATACAAATGTTACCTTTGTATAGCTGCACCCCGACATCCCATTCAAAACACCCACATTCCAACCTAATGGACGCACCTCGCCCTTCCTGTAGCTGCTATAGTTACAGTGTTCAGTGTCAGTTTTGGTCCTAATGATTTAACAAAGATAAAGCAGTATAAAATGTTACAAGAAATTTAGTAATAATACAAAAAGGGAAAAAACGGTGTAACTTAAGTTGACCATCCTGCAGCGTTTGCTGTATACCTAATACAAATGTTACCTTTGTATAGCTGCACCCCGACATCCCATTCAAAACACCCACATTCCAACCTAATGGACGCACCTCGCCCTTCCTGTAGCTGCTATATTACTCCGCGCATACCACATTCCCGGTGTCGACTAAAAACATCTAGACCTCAGACGAGGTACTTGGAATATAAAAAAGTATTTGATGATTATCACTTGTCACTTTACACATATAATACTAACGCTTAGCTTCATGCCGGACTAAGCCGCTGCTGCGCCCTAGTTTTTCGGATGCGGTAGGATACATGAACTACATTCCTCGTATAAGAGCTGCGTCTGAGCGACGCCATTTTAAGGTCTAGATTCACACCAGCGCGGAAGGTTTGCAGCACCGCTAAACGCAGGAGAACAGCGACCCGTCCGGGAATCTCACCGGCTGGCTTGGCTGTTTCATTCTTACTTGGATACTGACGCGTTGATCAGGCTTCGCCGGCCAAACAAAGGGATTCATCTTTTTAATTTCAGGTAAGCGTTTTAAACGCGGAATGATTCAACTCCTAGTAACGTTAGTTTGGAGATTGGAGTAACGTTATCGGGAGGATCTTCCCAGGTTTTTCCATGCTCAACCTGAGGCTGGATCTACCTTCCGCGAGCTGAGCTTTTAAAAACGCCTCGTTTAGGTTTTTACTTTTTATTTTATACTTGTTTTCCTCTAAATTGCCGGTTTATGCACAACGCACATTGACTCTTGTGTTTGTTTACGGTAGCTCCGCAAACACTGGCTAACGTTAGCTTTCATTCAGGTCTACAGCTCGAGCAGCGAGCTAACAGCAGATCTCAATCGATAAACCACAATATTGGTAAAAACACATGATTTCACCTGGGACTCCCCGTGTTGGTTTTCACACTAGTATGCCCTTGTTTTTTAACCGCATCGTGATTTAGTTTCCTCAGCTTCAACAGTTTATGTCGTCAGACGTAACGTAAGTTATCGAGGAACTTTTATTTGTGTAGTTTGTCTTTTACAAATAATGAAAACTGAGCCGATCGATTTTGATTGTTGTAGTCCGTAATGCCAAGTCAGTTGGGTGAAAGTATGTCAGCAATAAATGCAATAGTTTAATCAATTCGTGAGAATGGAGAAAAATCTATTTTTCCTTATTTGTAAAATATTTTTTGTTCTGTTGCATAACTATGTACATGTTAGTCAACTTGAAAAGAGTGTAATGTGAAACTCCTAATTCAGTTTGAAGTGAGCTAACGTTGAAATTAGTAATATTATCTAAAGTTGTTTTCTTGAAAAGTGTTGCTGGATGGATTGTCAATTCCATTTTGTTTGAGAGGTTATCCATGATTTGTCAGGAAAAGAGTAAGCTTTTGCTACAGGAATTGTCCTGGTTTTGTCTCTTCACAGATTTGGTGTGATGTTATAATTATAATCACATTTCTCTGTCATCCGATAGGCCGGTTGCAAGTCGAAACATTTCAGGGTTCATTCTTCCTCGAAACAAAGGCCCTGATGGCCGAATTCCTGCGTGCTTTCAGGAGGGGCTCGGGTTTCTCCGCTCCCAGACTCTGGAGCAGCTGTTTCACACACTTTAGTTAGACGTACCCACCTTGAGAGGCTCGGTAGAGCTGACCTCAGATCAGCCACCGTGCGCCTCTCCGCTGGAGGAAGTGTGGGCGGGGCTAAAGTCCGACGGCAGCGTGCGCGGTGGAAACTGAAGAAGGCCGAAACTTTTCCACGATTACGCGTGTGTGGTCGCGTTTTTAGCGGCGAGCATATTTTGGGTTTAGTACCTGTGTGGGAAATACCCACAGCAGTCTGTTTAAAAACAACCTCGGTTTCCCATAATACGTAGAAATGCCGGGTTTATGGAAGAACCTAAGAATATGATCGCCTCTGGAACATAATTGGGCTTGTTTACTGAGGATGTATTTCTGCTGCTTTCAGCAAACCGAAGATATTGCTTGTCTAATAGATATACATGTTTGCTTTTGTAAATTATATCAAATGCTTTCAACAAAAGGTTGTTTAAAGGAATGGTTTACCCAAAAACAAAACGTGTCACTCGCCCTTGTTTCAAACCTGTATGACGTTGCCAAAAGTAGTATATTCACTTTCATTGTTCATTGTATTGAAAAAAAAAAAAGATTCAGTGGAATTGAATATATAAGAAATAGTTAGCGTTCTTTGTGTGAACGGGGCTGTCAGTTCTGCTTATAATCTGTTATTTTGTGTCCTCAACAAATACTAAGATTTTGGATCAACATAGGAGTTTGTAATGAAATAAATGGTCTTAAAGGGACAATCCACCCAAAACTACCAGAGAACCACTTCTTGAATGGCTGTTGTAAATAGTGCTGTCAAGCGATTAATCGCATCCAAAATAAGTTTTTGTGCTCATAATATTTGTATGTGTACTGTGTATATTTATGTATATATAAATACACGCAGTATATATTTTGAAAATATTTACATGTATATTTATATTCATATAATTTATATTATATATAAATATTTAATATATGAACATTTTTTATTAAATGTATACATGCATGTGTGTATTTATATATACATAATCAATATACACACTGACACTACACACACATTATGTAAACGATAACGTTTATTTTGGATGCGATTAATCATTTGACAGCATTAATTGTAAACCGCTTTGCTTGCACCGGCCCTGTGCAGCAACATTTCAGCTTCTGTTAACAGGATACAGTGAATAAACCTTAAATGAGCCCATTAAGATGGCTAATCAGATGGCCTTCCTTTACTTTGAAGGTTCAGTTTCCAAATCTGTCCCATAATCACACAGTGATTCGTCTGAACGTCCGCCTCCCGTTCGCCTGTGTGGAGTGCTGACTGGTGACGCAAGGAAAACCCAGTAAATTTGTGTCTGACTCCCTTCAGTGTTTATTGTCTGGTAAATTAATTCCAGGTCAGTCTCACCACTGTGGAGGACTACACATGCATTTTGCATAAACTACCACAGCTGCCTCTGTTTGCTCTCAAATCATCCCTCTGCCTTCACACGCACCCTTAAAAAGCCTAATTTATTAACATTGGCACGGCTTCACAGCAATGTATTTCCCGGTAGCGGGGTCTTTCAGTGCAGGCCTGTATTTGAAGTGCTGTATCTTGTGTCATGCAGACATACACACACACACACAGGAAAGGAATGTCCAGCGCTGACTGCAGGATGTTATCATAAGCAAGGTTTCCTGTAAATACCTGTATGTGAATGGAGCTCTTGATGTTATATTTTGGAGGTCATGTCGAAATATTCTGCTACAGTAGTGCTTTAGAATGCTGTATGTACCCAGGTGGTTTTTTTTTGGTGACTGTGTGAAGGATGACACTGTGATTCTGTAGCTTCATCATTAAAAGCTGTTCTCACTCAGCCGTATGTTCTCAGACAGCCTGGATGCTCATCCAGCTGAGAACCAGCACTTAACCTACTTGCAGAGGGTTGCAATTTAGCACAAGAGCTCTGGAGTGCATGTGACTTGAGCTGTGTTCTGATTCACACAGTCTCTGCACCCATGACCGTGGGGCATCTGTAGAAGTTCAATTCACTTGACAAATTTGTTCATTTTGGAATAACCTGCAGCGTCCTCAAATGTAAGATTACGTTCTGGAATTTCTTTACACCATAATTCAGTTGCCAATACACTTGTTGTACCTTCTGATTTTAGGCACTTTACAATGTTTCAATGTTTTGCAGATCTTTACCAAAACTGTAAGCAGATTTCCAAATATACTTATGTAGATGATTATAAATGTATTAATTAATAGAATTTTTCAAATAAAGTAGGCCTACCTAATACAGTTCAGTGAGTTTAAGTTTGTCATAACTGACCCTTAAATTTAGCGATTTAAAAACAGGCTGCTATATTTAATACTGTTTATTTTTTTACTTTTATGGTCACAATAATAATGTTCTAGCTTTAAAAGCATTTACTGGTGTGCAAATTATCCTCTTGCTTTGTTTCAATTTATTACATTTGTTCCCAGTGCCACTGTGTGCATAGATTCTTAGTGGTCAGCTGACGTGTCATCCGATATTTGGGATTTGTTAATTATCGGTATTGACTATGTCAGGAGGAATTTTAATTCTATCCCTGAGCTCGCACGACGCTCACATTCTGTCTTCATTAGTTTACTGTATCTGTTTAACAATTGTCTTATTAGAACTGTTAATGTTAACTTGTATGAAATTTTTTTTGTTTATTGTTTGCTTTGATTAGTAATAGAAAGTGCAAATGTTATTCCTCGTCCACCATTATAATTCAGCAAATGCGCGTTCATAATTTAAACAAGGCCTTGAATATCTAACAAACATTTTAATTTTTTACAAACCTTGAAGGATATCTCCATTGGCTACCCAAAAATCCATATTGGTCGAGCGCTATGTTGTAGTTGTAAATATTTGAATTGTGTTCATAGTTGTAAACCTGGACTGATCCCCTTTGCCACGTGATGCTCTTTCTTTCTAATTCTTAGGATGTTTGTTTGTGGTCGGGTTAACCACACTGATTGATGTTGCCTAATGTGTAGTTAAGTTGGAAACAAGCCTTTCGGTTTCTTCCCATGTTGTCGCAGTATGTACTTTACATTTAACCCCGATATCATGACGCATATCGGGTCTTTTGAGGCTTGCAGGATGTGAAAGCTGATGTTCTTCGCTGCAGCAGGAAGACAGATTTTGTCAATGTTTCCAAGGGTTGTCCGCTTTCTCGATGTTTATTCTCTGAAAATGTCCCCTCAAGTAGGGTTGGGTATCGTTAGAAATTTTCCGATTCCGGTTCCAGTTTTGCCTAACGATTCCGGTTCCATTTAAATGAACTGTTATTATTTTTTTACTATTTTACCTTAATTGAATGTAGTGTTGCTGGAAGGTAGTAAGTAATGTTGAGTAATGCATGTGCTTCAAAGTTGATGTTTTTTTACACTATCAATAACATTTTGCTTTTCAAGCAGGAATAAGCTGGTTGGCCAAATAGTCCCTTGAGGGCTAAGACACTTGTTCATTTCCCTAAATTAATGAAATATTATACTTATAACCATGTATACACGCACTGCATAAAGCCCCTATTTTACAAATAATAATGCAGTCAGGACATGGTGTGATGCAATGAGTGGTTTCCACATTTTTAAACCTTTAAAATGCATGAAAATATTTTCTATCACTTTATCACTCTTGAAATGACCTGTACACTAAATGTAACCCTCATACTTGCATAACAATAGCAGTCTATTTATTTAGTGGTCCAAGTTGAAGTACGTAAGTTGAAGTATGTATATTAATGATAATATGGGACAAATGTAATTTAGTGGCGGCAGGAGCTGCGTGCTGCCGGTACATGTACAGTCAGACAAAACAACTTGCACATTTATCGAAAGACGTGAGTGCACGTACAGTCGTGGAAAACGATGTGTTCGGCAGTTAAAGACGCGACGCGTCTGTGGAGTGCGCGTCATGGGAAACAATGTGCTCAGTAATTAAAGAGGC